TGATCTCCATCATCTTTACCTTCATCTCGATTTATTAGAGAGACCTTTAGTCTTCTTTTGCTCGCAGGCATTAATTATTAGACTCTAATCCGCCACCAAGGAAACGTCAACCACAAACCCTTCCTAGTGTAATGAATAGTCCGTGAAAAGAGCTACAAGAATATGCATGAGAAAATCGAGTTAAGTGTTTGGGATCATGGTGAAATTGTGATAATAAGTTCAAAATACTTCAAATTCAGTGTAATTTTGGAAATAAATGTAAAATTTGATCATTAAGAAGCATGTTCAAAGCAAAATAAAGGTGATATTGGTGATCACCGCTAAAAACCGAGTCAAATAATGTGCTATTCATAATTTTAGCAAAACTTTTTTTCTTCATCAAAAGCTCAGATGAGGTCCCTCTTATCATAAAAAGGACTGAAAAGTCGCCTGTGGTTCCTCTCAGGAATCTTTTGACTAATCTGTAGTATTTTTTTGACAAGAAATAACGCTTGATTTTACTTTCAAGCATTTGTTCGCACATATTCTTAATCAGTTCGTCAAGTTCTAATGACTAGTGTACTGGAAATAAGATTTCATTCTCATTTTCTATCGAAAATTATTATTTGTAATGATTTAAACAAGCTTTCAAACGATAGCCATAACTGGCACAAACTCACTTAAATGAGCAATTGAGTGTGAGGATGAGAATGTTTTAATATTAAAACAAACTGAAAACTGTCTGTAGATCATGCGCTTATTCCATCACGCTTGATGGAGCTAAAGCAGAGTAGAAACCAAATTAGTTTATTCATGACTACCTTGAATGTTATTGTACACTCGTGTTCGATGTAGTTATTGTCATTAAAATAATCTGTTTGATTTGAATTAAAAGTTTTGTTTTTCAAAAATGCTTGAAAATCTTGTTGAAATGTTACATTTCTATGCATGTGTCAATGGGCGGAGTCTCTGTGTAATTCGAAATATTCATGATGTTAATAGTGGTGGTTGGCTTTTTGAAATTACAAGGAAATTCGCAAAATCATTCTTAGAATATCCAAATTTGAACATTATTCGTTGTGGTAGTTTTGAAGAAGAATTATGTATTCCATTAGTGGTTATTGGAAACAACACAGAATCAGCTCTAACTGTAGATGCTGATCATCTAATTGTTGATCACAACTATTGAGTTATTAAAAATTTTAAAACTATTTTTCAAAACAATAAAGAAGGTTTAACATTTAAACCGGCTGTTCATGATGGGTATGTTTATGTTTTCAATGAAGAATCAATTCGCTTGAAAAATAGTCAATTTATCCAAGAACAAATAGAAAAATACAAACTAAAAACTGATGTTGTACCTCTCAATACAAACAATAAAACTGGTCCATCATTTAATAAAAGACGTGACTATGATAATTCTTTTCATATTAGTTCTGATCACGTATTTGCATTAGAATGCAAATATTGGCCGGATACAGCGCAAAATTGAATAGAACGAATTAGTAAGAGTGTGTTGACCATCTAGTTCCGATTGGTTGTAACGAAGAGGAATGGAGAATATCATTTACATGTGCCGAAATAGAATTATCAAATACAATTAGTAGAAAACACAAAAGGACTTACGGTTTGCTAAAATTTTTAATTAAATATCTATGCTGTATAAATAATATAACAGTATTCAAATCATATCAATTAAAAACATTATTTTTATGGTACTGTGAAGATATGCATAATGAAAAACAATCTTGCTTGACGACTACGAAAGACTCAATATTAGGCTTACTAAAATCTGCCATCCCGTTCAACGAAAACAAATAATCGCAAATTTTTTTATAATACTCATGGAATAGTATATTATTTAGAAATACTCATGGACCGCCATTTTATCAGACGAATAATAACTTAATAAAACAATACTACAGATTAGTCAAAAGATTCCTGAGAGGAACCACAGGTGATTTTTCAGTCCTTTTTATGATAAGAGGGACCTCATCTGAGCTTTTGATGAAGAAAAACAGTTTTGCTAAAATTGTGAATAGCACATTATTTGACTCAGTTTTTAGCGGTGATCACCAATATCACCTTTATTTTGCTTTGAACATGCTTCTTAATGGTCAAAATTTACATTTATTTCCAAAATTTGTATAAGTCCAAAAACATCCAGAAAGACTACCTCCTGATATTCAACTATTTATTCCTTCAGAGTATCGTAGCCAACATGATCGATCAAGGACAATTTACAATCGTTATGCATATGAACAACAAATGCGTACACAACAAGCTGAGTTTCAAAATAGAATGGATCAAAATGCCTGGCCAGGGTTGGATACAATTCCAACAACGTCCAATTCAACAACAATTCATGAACTGAATTTGAATGTAACTATAAAAGCTCTTTCAGATGAACTGAAGGAAGCTAAACAACGTCATGAACAACAACAGAAACGAATTGAAGACAAATTTAAATCTAATATGATAATGATGAATCAAGCATGCATGTTGATGCAACAATCTCAACAAACTAAGCAAACCATGATATTAGCAATGAGTGTTACAATAAGTCAAACAATGTTTTCAACGTGTACAAAAGAGTATAAATCTACATTTAGTTGTTCAAAAGATAAAGTCCCACACGAACAACAACAATTTTGAAGAAATTATACGGTTCTTAATAACCAAGCATTATACATTAATGAAGTTCAGAACGAATATCGTAAACACATAGAATAAATGAAGAATATTTCAAACAAACAGATGCTCTCGATAAATCTTTGGATATTCTCTTCAAGTATGATAATGATTAGTGGAGATTTCAAGTATTGTGTGCCAACTGTTGAAATTATACAGGTCTGTTGGTGAGTGATCTGTGTGTGAGTTGGGTCCTTTTGTGTTTTCAACTAATTGTATTTGATAATTCTATTTCGGCAAATGAATTATACATATTCGTGATCTACGTTTCAAGGACTATCTAACCATGTATAATAACATGGGGATCAGTTTCGTGTACATCGTTCGAATTTCCGGCACCTTATATAGAAGAAAAAGTTAAATACGAACAAGGGAAAAGAAAATTAAAATTGAGACATATGAAAGAAGGACAACATATCGCCGTAAATGATATTCTCCATTCCTCTTCGTTACAACCAATCGGAACTAGATGGTCAACACACTCTTACTAATTCGTTCTATTCAATTTTGCGCTGTATCCGGCCAATATTTTTTTTTTAATTTTTTTATTTATTGACAACAAACAAAAAGGAATAATAAAAGATGTTACATTGTGTCAAAGGAGGTACATCAAAAAGCATGAGGGCTTATAACAACAACAACAACAAAAGAGTTGTAGTAGACACCTGATAGAGAAATAACACATGTGTAGATAACAAATTAGAATAAACACAAGTACAATTTCAGATTGCTTTTAAAAGATTTCACAGTAGGTGCTGAAGCAACTACGATGGTAGATTATTCCAATCAGAAGAAGTAGAATAGAAAAAGGAATACTGAACATTAGTTAGAGTGGTAAACGGTACAATGACCGGCAAAGGATTCAGATTAAGATTAAGTCGCTCGGATCTCCTAATATTGACAGGTGTTTGCGTAATGAGCTCGTCGCGATTTAAAGTGCATAAACGATGGAAAATACGATAGTAGTTGACTAGACGAAAGTAGAGGCGGCGAATAGTCAATTTAGGAAGCCTTAAATCATTGGCAAGTTGGACACTATCAGTGGTATAATCGAACTGTCGAGTTATCAATCTCGCTGCAAGTTTTCGGACAGACTCAAAGGGCTGAGTGTGAGTAATAAATTTAGTATCGAAAACCGCGCTGCCATAGTCCAGTTTAGCCAAAACGCAAGTTTTGTAAAGGTGAAGACGCAGAAAAGCCGGAGCTTCAGCAAATGTTCTGTTTATGGCACCTAACATGCGGCGACAAGCTAAAGCAGTTATTTTAAAGTGAGGTTTCCAGCTTAGATCGTGTGAAAAATACAAACCCAAAACTTTGGGCGTCTTTTCATATTTGAGAGATTCTCCGTTGATGCTAAAACTGAGAGTGGTAGAAGGGTTAGCAGACAAAGAGAAATATGTCTAATGACACTTGTCAGAACTTAAGGACATAAAATTGCAATCACACCAGTTAGTAATACGATCAATTTTGTTTTGAACAAATTGCTTGACCGTATTTAAACTATCCTGTTTAGCGAAAGTACAGATCAAATACAGGTCATCAGCAAACAAACTATATATACTAATGACGAAGTAGGCGGAGACAGATCATTGATAAAAATGAGGAAGACAGGGGACCCAAAATAGACCCCTGAGGCACACTAGAAAGGATATATGCTACGTTAGAAAGGGTAGTTCCTATCTTTACATATTGTGAGCGACACTTTAGATAAGATATAAACCAATTGAGAAGTTTATCGTCTACACCGACAGATTTTAGTTTTTGTAGTAAGACGAGGTGCGGTACGCGATCGAAAGCCTTAGCTAGGTCGACACTCACAACAATACTGATTTTATTATTAGAAGCATTGTCAAATAATCTGTTCGCGACAAATAGCAAAGCATCGATGGTCAAAGCATTCGGTCTAAAACCGAACTGGTTAGCAGACAGGAGTTGGTTAGTCAAGAGATGGTCAAGAAGTTCTCTGTGGATGAATTTCTCAAAAACTTTACTCACGATATTCAAAAGAGAAATTGGCCTATAGTTATCAAGAGAACCAACAGGCCCTTTCTTGTGAATGAGAGTAACTAAGGAAGTTTTCCATTTATCAGGAAAAGTTTCCTTATCAAGTGAAAGTTGAAAAAGATACGCTAACTGTTTAGAAATGGAGGACGTGCACAGTTTGAAGAAAAGAGTAGGAAAGTCCGGTGCCTACGTTAGAAGTATCACATAACCTACTAATAACCTCTGAGACTAATTCTTCAGTTATTACAATGGAATTGAAAGTTTGACCAGAATAAGTGGTACTTGGAGGCGGCAGTGGTCCGTTGTAATTAGTATAACACGAGGCAAAAAATTTATTAAATTTCTGACAGGTCTCAAAAGAAGAAAAAGATATCCCATCACTGTCAGAAATGAAATGAGGAGTATTTTGCTTAGATGTTCTGTATCTATTTAAAGACGACCAGAACTTGGTAGGATCTGAAAAGGAGCGAACAATAGAAGAGAAAGTTGTTTCCTTGTCACTGCGTAAAGACGAAATGACCTTATTTCGCGAAAGTTTAAAGTTTGAAAAACTTTCTTCGTCAGTAGGATTTTTTCGATGTTGTTTATACGCAAGATTTCGTTTTCTCCTTAACCTTTTAGTTTCTTTTGATATAGCAACTTTAAACGGGGAAGTAAGAGGAACTTGTTTACGTTTCGCAAATTTGGATAAGCACAAATTAACATGAGACTCCCAAAGAGCAGCTGCTATATTAGGATTAGCCGAAGAATAGAAATCACTAGAAAGCTCAGATAGGGCACAATTTAGTTTCTCAACATCGCACTCACTGAAATCCCAAATGAGTTTAAAACAAGTAGAAGTTTGTTTGACACTAAAGGAATCAAAAGTTACAACCAAAGAAAAGTCGATTGACTCACCGATAGATGGGTAGTCAGATAAAGAAGGTTGATTGCACGTAGAAGGGTACAGAATATAATCTAAACATGAACCGAGAGATGTGGTGGCAGTTGGCTGAGTTTTCGAAAGAGAGAAAGTGTTAGAAAAGGCACATAAAGCATCAAATACACTTTTATCAGACGGGTCTGCATTATAATCACCAGTTAGAATGAGATTGTCGTGATTTTGAGGAAGATTAGAAAAGAGAAATAGTTCTAGGTTGTCAAAATAGCTATTAGGATTAGGATTTTGAGCTTCTGAATGATACGAGTTGCATAAGCATAACAGAGAATCAGAAATACGGATAGAAAATAGCTGAGTTTCGAGTAGACAGTCGTTGGCTAACAAAGAATGAGGGAGAGAGTTTCGAACGTACACAGCTACGCACCCAGCAAAAGTTGGTCGATCTAACCGATAGAATGAAAAATCAGAAATTTGAAGTTCGTTATCGGGTATAACGTTAGACAACCATGTTTCTTGTATACACAGGATAGAAAGATGCTGATGTTCAGATGCGAATAAGCGTAAAGAATCAACATGCTTACGAAGATCCTGAATATTATGATTGAAAACAGAAAAACCTTTAGCATTGATATGCTCTGGCATACGAGAGGAGAAAGGAAATGAAGAAAGTTTACAGTCAGCTTCATCATTCATGTTAGCTGTCACAGTTTGAAACAAATTGTTAGAGAAAGCGTTAGTAAGAGAGAGAGGAAATAGATCACACAGAGACAAAGCAGCGCTGGAACTGTCATTATTGGGTACAACAACGCTAAAGACTGTTCTTTAAGTAATCCTCCATTGAACTCCTTAGTCTGGAAGTACCTGAATCGCTCAAGTGATGATATCATATCGCGCTCATCATAATCAATCGGTATCAAGTCGACACCCATACTAATGGTTAGAGATGCTAAGTTGCCGTTGTATTCTCTAATATCCTCATTTAGAGCTTCAACTGAGGCTTTCAGGCCACAAATATTCATTGGAGATAGGGTGGTTAAAGCTAATTTCGAATTTGGATACGAGTTTTTAAATGTCGCGATCAAAAGTTCTGTTTTATCAAGGGCATCACTCGGTTTGTCATATTTCAAATTGGTCGTGCCAACACAAACAATGAAGTGAGGTGACGGTTTGAAGTGTTTTTCTTTGAGAAACTCAGTCATTCTCTCGATCCCAGCACCATTTTTCGTGTAAACATGATATCGAAATGACTTATTCGAAAAATCGATTGTCCCATTACCAAGACCTCGAGTAATGCTCGATCCAGCTGTTGTCACTAATTCAAACTGTTTTGCTTTCTTAAGGGGAGAAGTCGTAATTTCCCTCTGTTGAACCGGTGTGGATGACAAAGTGTTATCAGTATGACTCGATCCAATGTGACTATCCACCAACGATGAGGTTTGACTAGACACTTGTTGTGGCAGCCCCGACTGAGGCGAAGACACATTGACAGGAGAGACACGAACGTGTTGAGAACAGAGTGTTTTAACCATAAGATCATGTTGTTCAAGTATCATCTTTACCATCTGTTTTGATTGATCCCGGCTGACAGCGACATCTTCTGAACTCGATGAACTGTCCATTGACAGTTCATTTGAAAAGTTATCAATCTGGTGCGATAACTTTTCTATCAGCTTCATATATTGATCATTGGTTAAGTGTGGTAAATCATCGAAGGATTTTGTGAGAGAATTCAAATACGTACGAATGATCAAACGTGACATTGGTAAGGATTGAATTTGAGAAACGATACGATGAGAGATGACCAATAGAACCACGTGAATAAACTATGGATAAACGACTCTGTTTAAACTAATTAATAAAACGTACGAATAGGCTTGTAAGAAGTTACCTGCCAATAACAGGTAACTTCAGCAGATGCAAAAAGCTAGCTGCCAGAAGAAAAAATGTGGAAGAGGCCAATATGGCGACCGATAAAGTAACTTTTTTTTATTACAGTTACATTTTTAAATGACTAAATTGCATATAATGCATATTTGATAGAAATAGAAGATGAAGCGCTTAAATACATATAATGAAAGCTGATAGGAAAGGCAAGACGCCATCTATCATTTAATATTCTTTTGTTGCTTGATGAAACGATCAATGAGAACGCATTTTATTAAAAATAGACCGTTATAAGAAAACGGACAAAAGAACTGTTATTTTCTGCTGTTGTATCGAAGCTGTAGTTGTTTTCTGAACCATGGCTTTTGTTGCGAAAGGGATAAAAATAAATGAGATGAATTCCCATGCCGTTTTAAGATGGATTTTGCTGATGGGTTGTATTTCGTTGCTGTTGTAGTAAAGAACTTTTCTGTAATGAGCATTAGTTTTATGGTTTTAAGTGTCTAAGTCAAATGTTAAAGAAGCAAGATCTGTACTAGTGGAGTTTTTTCTCAAGCACATAACTTTGTGCTCAAGAAAGTCACATTTCTTCCTCATGTGATGCACAATCTTTTTTGTCTTATGTGCTAGAGTTTCTTGAAGTTAAGCATTATTTTTCGACATGATGAATATAACGAACTGAGCATGTGTACATGTTTATTCAATATAACAGTGTTTTCAAAATAAAAAGTGAGTGTTATGTGACAGCCCAAGTCAAAGAATCTTGCTGTAAGATTTTATAAGATTCTTCTACGATTTCGTAAGATTCGTATAAGAATTTGTAAGATTCTGTAAGAAACATAGAAACTGATCCTTGATGTAAGACTTCATCAGATTTCATAAGATTCTTGTATGATTTTTATAAGATGAATCCGTTTCTATGATTTTTCGTAAGAGTTTATACGATCATGTAAGATCTTGATTTGATCTTTTTACCTGAGAAGACACATGTACTTCGTACCTTTTTTAGCGTAGTATAAAGACTATGTCTCTGCGGTTTTTTTTAGCGTTTTGTCTGTTTTCTGATCTACTTGAAACTAAATAATTTTAAAAAGATGAAGTATTTCACAAGGTGAGTACACAGCAATTTTAAAGAGGACGAGAGAGGAAGTTAAAAGAAAGAAATCCGTTCTACTTTTCTATAATCATAGAGTGGAACTATTCTTCTTGAATCAGTCTATGGAATCAGGGCTGGTTATCTTTCCCACGTACTGCACCAACTCTATGGTATCTTCCTCTGTATAGACTCAGTTAGATATGTCTGTATAGACTTAGTTAGATTAAGTGACTAAGATCTCAAAATACAGATACACAGAACTGAGAAAAAAATCATTCAAAGATTGATGTTTTCACAAATGTGAGTATCCTCGGTGTGAGATCGCTTTGCCGTTAGTGCCTTTCAGGATGTACTGAGGATCAGTTCGGTCCTGTTTGACGTACAGAGGATTGGGGCTCAGCCATTCCGCCTCATTCACAAGATGCTAGATTGGCTCTGGCAACGAACTGACCCGAGCGCTAATATCCACGGGTATACATTCTCTGAAAGTCCAAGCTTCACATATGGCAAACGTAACCTTATCGGTAAAACTCACAAGTGAATAAACCAAAAGACATCACCCTCTCACTTTTATTTTGAGGTCAAGTCACACATCGAATTAGAATTGAGACTTACAGCGGAGAACTTAGTAAATTTGAGAAAGAAGATTCTGGAGTTAAAATTGATTGCACCATGTTCTTGAAGAAAAGTCCGAGTAAAACATGATGGAATCAAGTCGAGAAAATGAACTAGAGTTTTTTAGAAAGTGAGAGAACGATTAGGCATGATTTTCTTGGTATATGCGTTTGAGAGTAAAAGTTTCCAAGAAAAAAAATTGTTTTGGATCTAGCATAAGCTAGCTAAAAAAGAACATTTACCTAACTTGAGCTAGCTTATTATTTCCTTTAGGTAGCTTAAGCTAGATCCAAAAAACATTATTTTTGCTTGGTTTAACGCTGTTAATGGTAGTACGATTAGGAAGTTTGCGGTTATAACATAGAATTTAAAAAGAAAAAAGAAATGTGCGTGCGCTCCAGTTGTACAGCATATCACACAACATAACACTTTCTTAGTTGCTGATCAAACGAAGTTTTCAGTCAGACGAAGTCTCTAATTCTTGCTTTAATTAGAATTAATTGTTAAAGTGCATTGAAAAATATATCCTACTATAGATATGACTGAGCACAGTTTGTTATTTACAGACAATTACATGAGAAAGAACAAAAAAACAAATAAAACACAGAAACAAAATAAACAACCAAAAAGATGAATAAAAAAGAACTAAAAAGAAAACAATCCAAGCAAAATAAATTTTTTGGATCTAGCTTAAGCTAGCTAAAAAGAAACAATAGGTAAATGTTTCTTTTTAGCTAGCTTAAGCTAGATCCAAAAAATGTTTTTTGCTTGGGTAAAAACAAAACGTAGAACAAAAACAAAAATAAATTTTTAAACGTTCAATGGTTCGTCCGTGGTAAACTGCAGAACAATATTCATTTGAGCCAACCTATTGTGTTTTGCGACGAAATTCTTAAACATTGTTGAGATGATTTGACCTTGAACGAAAAAACGTATGATGCTAAGAAATATGCGCGTTTTCTCAGTAAGTTTTTAAAGTAAAATATGAGAGGCCAGAGCAGTGAAGAGGTAATTACCAAGAACTTACCTATCAAAGTTGTTCCAACTTGAGCACGAATAAACAAAAAAATCAAATAGCCATCTCGACGACAGTATTCTGATTCAAATCGTTCTAGAAAAGAATGCATAATTCACAATGAGTTGGAAGAATTGCAGTTAAAGCAACTTACCAACAAATCGAGTTACATCTTCTCGGTTTGTATTGCTCAATAAAAGATGTTTTCGAATGTTGTGTAGCCGTTTTAGTGTTATCGACGATATCAGAGCACCACAAATTCTGTAAATTGTACATATTCCAATAAAAACGAGCCGGTACCCAAACATTAAATAGATAATTCCTAAATACATGTCCAAGTGCAACAGGCACTCAGCATGTACAGTAAATATTGGATGTGTTCCATCGACAATAAAACCTGTGAAAAGAAAGAATAGGAGATATAGAATAATAAAAAAACTTAAGCGCTAAAACTTCGAATGCGGTTTCTCGTTATCCCTCGAGCAGAACTACTAATACGTTGTTATGAAGTGCTTACCGGTCGATTGTATTTGAATGAGACAATAAATTTTTGGAGAAAAGTTTTTCATGAGCGAATCAAAACGAAATAATCGAACCCCGACCAAGACGTGTAATAATATTAATTGACTGACAATATTGATCAAATACAATAATTTAATAAACAAATAACTAAAAAAGAGAAACACATTAATTACATTTATGAATAGAGAAAGATGTCGATGAGATGTTTTTTCACTCAAACGGGAATGTGATTTAGAAAAATGCAGAGTAGAAAAAAGTTCTGAATATATTACCAAAGACACAACAGGTAGCCATTTTTGTGTATAACCGTAAATGGCCGTTTGAAAACATGGAGTGTTGATTGTCGTCCGCAATCACCACCGGAAATACAAAATGTGGCGATGTATTTGATCAGCTGTATATTGAATAATTTCCACGCGTTGAGCTCTGGTAACATTAACCATTGATTGTCTGGATAATAAGTTCCAATTTATTCCAATTATTGATCATATAAAATCCCAAACGATGGCAGGTATCCAAAAATAAAAAATCATGCCCAGTAAAATTAAATATGTCCATTGGTGATAGGAACTAAAGTCAGTAGAGAAACGTATAAACTTATGTGCTATAATAACTTGTTTAAGGCGGACGGACCCCTCCGAAAGGTACTCTTCACCGTTCTCAGATTGTAGAGGACACTTTGAAGTGTATACCCTGAAGTTGTTTTGGCTTGCAGACACTGTCACTCTGAAAAAAGAAACTTTTAAGTTTTTTCGAGGTTTTCTGCTTGATTTTAAGAAATTTTACTGAAATTTCAAACTTCAATATGAAGACCTAATTCTTGCGTAGTTCGATACATGAAATCGAATTATATATCCAGCAGTATATTATTACGTATTGAGTGTAATACTTTTTTCAGTGTACCGGAAAAATTTTGAGAAAAGTTGAACTTTAAGGAAGGGTCTCTGACGCTCCCAGTTCGTAGAGGATACTTCGAAGTATATGTCCCGAAGTTTTTCCGGCTTACTGACATTATCTGGCTGAGAAAAAAATTAATAACTTAAAAAAGTATTGTTAAATTTTTGAACAAGGGATTATTATTTAAAAAATTCTTGTCCATTCTCCATTCATCATAAAAACTTGGTTCTTGCCTAGATCGATAGAGAAACGTGTGGAGAATATTTACTACGAGAAAATATGCAAAACTTTTTGTTCTTTCCTTCCTGTTATTGACTAATTAGTACTAATTAACGTTAATTTGGCCTAACCTACCACCTTAAAGCCCCATTTGTAAAATAACGACTCAACAAAAAATTTTAAGCAATACCTCATCTGATAAACAATTTTACGAGCTACAAGATGGACTACCTTAAAAACTTTAGAATACATTTTTGGCCGCTAGGTAAGCCTGGTAAATCTTTTTTTTACCCTCCCTAAGCTTTTTGACAATTCTAAATTAATTCTATTTGATTTTTCTCAAAAGTTTTCTGTTAACTGTTAACACTTAGTTGGCATCAAAGTTTCGCAGCAAAGAAATTTTTTTTCATTGTGCTTCATTGAGTCACAATCTGTGGCAAGGTTCTTAAAAAATACTACTATCCTTTTCAATGAACGGTGAACTCCGATATTTTGTTGATAACTTTTGAACGACAAGAGCTAGAGTCCTCAGGCTTTTAGTTTCTTAAATTAGACATCGCGGCACATAGATCTATGAAGTAACGAAACTTCCAGAACAGGTCTACCGTGATGTACCTTTCGAAGGAAAAAGTCCGAGCTCGCCGTTCGTAGATTTTGCATAGTGAGCCAGGCTCAAAATTTGTCTGTTATATAGAAGTGACTTCCGTCTTTACAATGACACGAGCCCTAGAGCTCCATCTATCATGATTCGTACACTACAGCCAATCTCCGAGGACCTACATATCCATCAAACCTGATCTCTAGGAATCTTAAAAACACATGGCACATAGGCTATCGGCACGCTGATTACCGTGGCAATGTTTGTTTTGTTGTCCGGATTAAGGAAACTGCGAAAGATCAGTTTTTCAGAAAATACGATTTTTCCACTTTTATCGTACTAAATTAGAAACCTTATCGCGCCTTCATTTCTCAATCAAATTGCTTCAACTTTTCAAAATAAACTAGTTTGAAGTATTTCGTCACATCACACAGACAAACGTGCAGAGAAACTCAATCGTACATTGAAAGGCTTTCCA